TAACAGCTTTATAGTAAATTCTGAAATAGAAGATTGTCTTATTTGAACTTAGGTAATTCAACTCCATAGGAATTTTAACATCAGTGTTCCATTTCTTTGCAAGGAAAAAAAAAAGTGCTGTTGAGATTTTTGACAGGGATTATGCCGAATCTTTATAGATAGCTTGGAGCCGTACATATCATCTGAAAAACATTCAGAAACCAGCATTTAACCTAGTAGTTAAGATGCCCAGTTACCACACAGGAGGATTTGCTCCCTTCCTCCAACTAAATCAGTATTACAAATCCTAAGAGACAGAGATGGGCCCAGCACAGTCGCCTAGTAGCTAAAGTCCTCACCTTGCAAACGCCAGGATCCCATATGGGCACTGGTTCATATCCCAACAGCTCCACTTTTCTTTCAGCTCCCTGTGTGTGGCCTGGGGGGTGGGCAGTAGAGGATGGCCCAGGGTTTTGGGACCTGGCACCCACGTGGGAAACCCAGAAGAAGCTCCTGGCTCCTGACATTGGATCAGCTCAGCTCTGGCCACTGTGGCCACCCTTGGGAGTGAACCAGCAGATAGAAGATCTTTGTCTCTTTTTCTCTCTGTAATTCTGACTTTCCAATAAAAATACCTTTTTTTTTTTTAAAAAAAAAGGCTGAATAGATAAGTTAAAAAAAGACAGAAGTAATCGCTCATGAAACTAAGTTCTTGCCACCCCAAGGGAGCCAACACTGAGTTCCCCACACCTGACCCTACCTCGGCTCTAGTCACTTTACTTGAGGAGTGAAGTAGTGAACGGGAGCTCTTTCAACTTAAATTCAGTGAGGATGACTTAATTTTAACCTCAAAATCATAAATGCCATTATCAATCTTCATTAGGGAAAACACCATCTTGTGGCTGAGCCCAGTACATCTGCATAATGTCTGGCAAACACGAGAATGACAGGCAGGAAACCGCACAGAAACGCCGCATAACCTAACGCAACTTCCGAATACTCAAGACAAGCAGGAGTTTCCACCCCTCAGTTCAGTAGCTCTGGCAGCGAAGGATATGGAATTACATAACAGCAAATAAAAGTTAATACAACCAAAAAATAGCTGAGCATTCTTTCCTACTCAGTCTGTCCTTTCCAGAACAACTGCCAAGAAAAATGAGAAAGTGCTGCACAGGTTTTGGCTTTGTAATTTTTAACAAAACAGACCCAGGAAAGTGCCTTTCGATTCCTCCTCAGAACTCTAAAACATTAACTCAGCAGAAAATGCTAGACAGTTTCAAAAATATTCCAGGAGCGGGCCCAGCGGCTAAAGTCCTCGCCTTGAATGCTCCGAGATCCCATATGAGCGCTGCTTCTAATCCAGGCAACCCCACTTCCCATCCAGCTCCCTGCCTGTGGCCCGGGAAAGCAGTTGAGGTGGCCTAAGGCCTTGGAATCCTGCACACGCGTGGGAGACCTGGAGGAAGTTCCTGGATCGGCATAGCATCTGCCTATTGCAGTCACTTGGGGAGTGAATCATCGGACAGAAGATCTTCCTCTCTATATATATCTGACTTGGCAATAAAAAACAAATCTAATAAATAAAAGATAAATCTTCAAAAAAATTTTTTAAAAATTCCAGGAAGGCAAAGCAATGATAATCATAGCATAGTCAACCTGTGCCTTTTCCATAGCACCTTAAAAGTACATCCTGCAATGGGCTAGCAAAACAGAACCTCAACTTCAAGGACTGGTCCACTTTGTCCATGCACCTCTGCATCCATTTTCTTTTTCTGACAAACCCTATACAGTTTACCAAACACGGGGACCCTCACTTTTCGGTATGTGAAACGTTTCTGTATCTCCTGGTTTGAGCTTTTCTGGCACTGTGCTGGCTTTCTGCCTCAACTCTGGCAGGAAACATTGAAAGGACACGGACCTAGCAACACTTTTCCTGGATGGTCCTTCAACTCAGCCAGCAGGTGACTTCTGCTTACATCTGATGGGCGAATGGAAACCTCTGAGCCTCACAATGTGGTGCAGGACAAGGAGACCCTGACTCTTCACCCTAGGCCAAAGAAAAGGAAGCCCAGCAATGGATGTTTATTCTTCAAATGAAAGAACTATGCTGAGCTTCTATTCTCATCCCCTCTCACCAACTCCTGGCTCTCCATTACACTTAGCCTCAGGATTTGCTCCTTAGCTGCAGGTTAAATACAGTAGTCCTTAATCTAGAGCTCTGGGCCCAGCACAAAGATTCAACTGACTAGTCCTCTGCCTGCAAGCACTGATATCCCATATAAGCACCGGTTCATGTCCCAGCTGCTACACTTTCCATTCAGCTCCCTGCTTATGGTCTGGGAATGCAGCAGAGGATGGCCCCAAAGCCCTTGGACCCTGCACCTGCAAGGGAGACCTGGAAGAAGCTTTTTGTCTCAGATCGGCTCAGCTCTGGCTGTTGTGGCCATTTGGGGAGTGAATCAGTGGATAGAAGAGTTTTCTCTCTGTAAATCTGCCATTCCAATAAAAAAAAAATTGTTTAACTTTAAGAAAAAAAAAAACCATATAGCTCCCAGATTCATCTGAAAACCTCTCAGAAGAGATTGGAATTACTCTCTTAGGATTTATTCAGTAGCCTGACGGGTACTGCCCGGGTCTTGCAAATTTTAAAGATTCCACAGGTGACTGAGTTGATCACCTGAGTTTGAATGAAACTCCATTCTTTAAATCATACTCTTCAACTAACTCCTTTTTTAAATGACTTAGCCAGAATTTGGGTTGGGAAGAAAGGGCTTTCCTCACTCAACTTCTAAAAGATTCAAATCCTAAACAGGATTCAGGGACTCCACTTTCAATCTGAGTGGGAAAAAACACTCTGTACTTTACACACCTCTACATCACACCAGCCGTATCTATCTGTACTAATCATTAACAATTTTTTTCCCCTCAGGGACCTGCACAATGGCTCAGTTGGCTTGTCAAAGGGGTACCGGTTCATGTCCTGGCTGCTCCACTTTCCATTGGTTCCCTACTTCTGGCCTAGGAAAGCAATAGAGGACAGCCCAAATCCACAGGACCCTGCATTCACATGGGCAACCTGGAGGAAGCTCCTGGTTCCTGGTTTCGGATTGGCTCAGCTCCAGTTATTGCAGCCACCTGGGGAATGAACCAGTAGATGGAAGATTTGTCTCTCCTTTTCTGTGTAAATCTGCCTTTCCAATAAAAAATGATTCAATCTTTAAAAATATATATATATATATTATGGTAGTTTCACATCTTAAAAATCTTGCTGGTGGAGAATGACTGTCAACCCCAAGGTTAGCTAACGCCTGAGAAAGTCAACAGCTGATTCGCGAACTGCCCCTCCAGAGTAACCAACTGCCCCAGATGTAACTCCGACAAGCTAACAAGTTATCCCACTGCCCTAAATCAACCCCTGGGCAGGTAACAAGCATCCAGAAACCACCCTGAGAGCCGCAACACCTGCGCAACTATCCAAACAAGCCAGCAGTGACACGTTGACTTGGCCCTGCTGACTTTCCTGTGGAAGCCCACAGACTCTCCCTGGGGGTTCCTCTCCTGACTCAAACCTGTGACCCCACAGGGTCTGTCATGTCCCCTTTTGCTGGGAGAGGCAACCAAATTCTTCCTCCTACGACTGACCTCTCCATGTCCTCACTCAGTCACCTCTGCAACTTGAAAACCTCAAGGGCGCGGACCACCCCCACGCTTTAACGGCGCGGACCACCCCCACGCTTCTGTGAAGCAGAACCCACAGCAGGCCTCTTGGAAACCCCAACAGCATTTGAACCTCAGCATTCATATCTAATGTAGTTTTATATACAAAGCAACATTACTTATAAAAGTCAAAAAGTGGCAACCAATAAATGCAGAAATACGCCCTGTGCATGCAATGGAATATTATTCAGCCCCAAAGAGGAATGAGGTAGATCCCATGCCATAAGGATGAACCTTTAAAACATGCCTAGTGGGCCCGGCAGCGTGGCCTAGTGGCTAAAGTCCTCACCTTGAACGCTCCGGGATCCCATGTGGGTGGCAGTTCTAGTCCCGGCAGCTCCACTTCCCATCCAGCTCCCTGCTTGTGGGAAAGCAGCCGAGGACGGCCCAAAGCCTTGGGACCTGCACCCGTGTGGGAGCCCTGGAGGACGTTCCTGGCTCCTGGCTCCGAATCGGCGCAACGCCAGCCATTCCGGTCACTGGGGGATTGAATAATCGGATGGAAGATCTTCCTCTCTGTCTCTCCTCCTCTCTGTATATCTGACTTTGTAATAAAGAAATAAATAAACCTTTAAAAAACAAGCATGCTTAGTAAAAACCAAACAAAGCTGCACACGGAGCAAGCCCGATAATAAAACACAGAGCATGAAAACCCATAGAAAAGGCAAGGAGACGGCGAAGAGTGACTGCTAACAGGAATCAGCTGTTTCGATTTAGGGTTATTATTAAAAAGTCTGGAGTTAGATGGTGATGACAGTCATGTAATCTTATAAACTACTCAGAAACCAGCTTAGTGTGTACAAGAGTTAATTCCACACCATGAGAATTATACCTTAAAAAGCCAACGAAGCGTTTCTATTCCGCCGCACTTCTCCAGGACGCCAAGGCCCCGGCGACAATCCTCGAAGTCTGCAACACCTCACTGCTCCCCTGACGCGCCCTCGGCTGCCGCCTCACTTCGCACCCAGACCACCTCGGTCACCTCAACAGGGTCTGGGCAGTCAGGCTGGCCGCCGGCGCCACAGCCCTCTCACCTCCAGCAACTCGGCAGGCGTCGGCCCGAGCGGCGCGGCTCCCTGCTGCCCGTGCTCCACGCCTTCGGGAAGCGGGTCCGCGGCCTGGGCTCCCTCAACAACCTCCTCCCTCGGCTTACTCCCGTGTGCGCCACACAGGTTAGAAGCAGGTCGCTGTTATGCCCCAAATGTTTTCGGAGCGTATGAAGTGGAGTGGAAACAGCCTTTGTCTTAAACTCGGTCGCCGCCGCAATTCCCGCGCCCTCTGCCTCGACGCTCGCCTGCCCGTACCTCGCCGCAGTTTCCCGCCACACACCACTTCCGCCTCGCCCCTCCTCGCGCCACCCGGATACGCCAAGGCCGCCCGGAAGACGGGAGGCAGGATCTGCGCCTGCGCGCCCGCGCCCTGGGCGGGCTCGTCAGGCGGCGCATGCGCAGGCATGAGCGTTCCCGTTGAGAAGGTGCCGCGGCGCGCGGGAGGTAGGAGGAGTCGGTGTTGAGGGATGGCACCCGCGTACCGGAGGTCCTGTCACGGCGGGCCGGCCTTACCTTCCTGAGGGAGAAGGGCCCTGCTCGCCCGCCTGCTTCCTTCCCTGATCCGCTGGCCTTAGCAGGCCTGCAGCCGTGTCACCTCAGGCAGGAGGCGCTTTGTGGGGAGACTGGCGGGGTGCCCCCCAGAGGAGATCAGGGCGGCGATCGGGAGCCTCCGCCTGGCCGTGGAGTCCTTAGCGTCCTTGGCAATCCTTTCCCAGGTAGATTCTCTGACCTCCCTTTCCGAAGGAAGACACCTTGAGGGAAGCAGGAGGGTCCGGCCCACACCAATTCATTCATTCAGTTAGGTAATAAGTTGTGGAGGCCCAAGACCCCTACTATCTGGAAATAAGTGTTTTAGGAGTCGTGTGTCACTCGGAGATGGGACCTGTCCTCTCACATCAACTGATGTCGCTGCAGCACAGTCTTGGGGCGGAGTTTTCCTGGCTGTCCCTCACATCCAAGGGGATAAAGCTGCGTTGGCTTAGCCTGGCACTCCAGGTCCTGGCAAACTGCCCCCTGCTTCCTCCTGCAGCTTCTTAGCCCTCCACTTGACTGTTCACTCTGGGGAAATCAAACTTCGCAGTTCAGGAATTCAACAAATAGCTGTTGCACACTTGGCGGAAGTCCAAAGAGAAGCCTCACAGAGGTTAGTCAGTGTCCTGAAGCCGTGCACCCAGGGGAGAAGGGATGGTCTGTGAGTGGAAAGGTAAGAGCCGGCCTGCCAGGGTTGGCTCCCAGTCTTGCCTGCCCCTTCAAAAGCTGTGAGAACTTGAACTGTTTTTCAAATAGGTTCAATACTTGAAAAGCAGCTGGAACAATGCCTGGCAGGCAGGAGGCATGCAGTTATTGCGACAATGACATATGTCTGTAACCTATGGTAGGCGCCATTGTGAAGCCAGTGAGCGCTGGTTGGCAGCCGTGGGTGAGGGTGCGCCTAAGGGAAGGGAAAGCCCTCCTCCGAGGAGGCGTGGAAGATGAGGCGCACCAGGCAGACATAGCAGGTTCTGGGTCTGTCCGCCCCGCTGCGGATTGCTGCATGATTGGCGGTTTCCTAGGTGTTTGAGTTTGGATAGCTGTTACAGGCCAAGTGGCCTTGGCTCCCTTGCAGTTGCTGATAGAACCTCTGCAGGACTGGGAGCTGGGAAGATGGCTTCCCTAGATTTAGGAAGTCATCCTGTTTTCTGTGGCAGTTTCCCTTCATGAAATTTGTTTCTCGAATTTCAGTAAAAACCCTCCTAAAATGCACATTTTTTCTGCCTATGGGAGAACATGCTTCAGTAGGTTTTAACATCCCTCTTTTGTGTTCCTGTGGGATGATGAGATTGTTACTGGAGGCTGTCTATTGTTACCCTGAAGATTCTTCCCATACCCCTATGTATATTTGTACCTTGTTTGGGAAATAAATGACATACAATGATACTGTTTAATTGCACTTCAACATTTTTGGTTTTCCACAGGTGTGAAATTAAATACACCAAATCTGTTTTATCACCATGGAGATTCTGAAGAGCTGTATGAGTATCCAGATCATATATATTCTATTTCAGAGGCATCAATTTGACCACAAAAAGCCTATCGGTTATGACTTTTTATAGAAAGAAGCTTTAACTGTGTTGTTTAACCACAGGCCATAAAGACATTTGCATCATTCTGTAGAGCAAAGCAATACTTTGTTTAACTGCGAGCTCTCCACGCGTCTCTGTGAGAAGCAGAACTCTCAATGAAGCTGTGGGTGTGAGTGAGCCTCAGGGAGGCTCACACAGGGGCCGCTTGCTCCTCTGTGCACCTGCCCCTGATCAGCCCCCGCTCCTTGAAGACCAACTTGAAAGCCTTAAGGCTAGTCAGGCAATGGATGAGTCCGATGACGATTTTAGAGAACTCTGTGCCAGCTTTTTCCAAAGGGTGAAAAAAACAGCAATCAAGGAAGTATCTGGAGACAAGACACTGAAGGGCCGCAGTGGCACTCGGATAAACAAACTGAAAAAGACCAAACCTACGGTCCCCAAGACAAAGACCCTTCCAGGCCCTGGAGAAAAGAAACCTCATTCTGGCAACCAGGCCCCTGGGGCTGAAACAAGAAGGGAAACCACAGAGCAACAAAGTGAGCTGGCTGTCGCTGCCAATGGGGAGGGAGATGTGCTTGCCCCTGGTGCTGATCATCCTGGGCTCTGCGAGAGAGCACAGGACACCCCAACGGGTAAGCCAACAAGAGCAACCTTTGCAGGGAGGAAACCGGGGGCTGGGGAGCTCTGGAAACAACCAGGGAGTGAATGCTGGCCCTGGGTGGGCCATCCAGCATCGTCAGCATCTGGCCCCTATAGCCACCCAAGTGTAGGAGGAAAATATCAGAGGGAAAAAATCACTGCACTGAACAGGCACAGGCTTTTCTCCTTGTCATCATCTAAATAATACAGTTTTTAAAGTTATTTATATAGCGTTCACATTGTATTAGGATTAATAAATAGAGAAAATATAAAGCATCTGGGAGGATATGTATAGGTCATGAGCAAATACCATACCATTTTATAAAGGAGATTTGAGATTCTGTGGATTTGGGGGATCCTGAGGGGTAGGAGGTGTGCTGGGAAGTTTCCCAACGATCCTGGGGACTGATGGCACTCCACACCGCTGTTGGGTGAGAAAAACAGCCGTGGACACTGCGTAATGAGCGGGTTTGGCCTTGTGCTGTTTACTAAAATAACCGTCTAGTCCTGGGACTGTTAAAAATAGAAATGTGGGAATTGTCCACCTGATAATGTTTGGGACCTCTGCTTTTTGATAATTTCCACAGATTGTTTATCAATTTTGTGGTTCACATGAATTACACAAATGTGCAAATAATGCAACTTCTCTCATTTTCTTGAATTTAGTCCAAGATGGGTAACTTGGAATAGCTCAGGCAATGTGGCTCAGCTTCTGAGAATATGGGTGGGCTGGAAGGGTTGAAGTCCTAGGAAAACCTTCAGGTCCTTGTTTTCATGGCTGATATAGACATGTTTTTTCTTCCTCTGGTTTTGTTTGTGTAAATCAGCTTTCCCGTCCTCCCTTTGGTGCAGTGAGACCTAGGGTTAGCAGACATTCTTCATGCGGAACTAGAGATCAACCATGCATGTAAAACACCACAGAGCCTCTGGGCTCCTGAATTCTGCATCTAAAATGTCCTCACCTCTACTTCCTAATCTCAATTAACAGTGTCACCTTTCAGGACAGTGATGGCAAGGTCTTAGCACAAGGAGACTTAGTACTGTTGCTATAATATTCTTGGTCCTTCATGCTTCCTTTGTGAATCTGATCAAAACTATGATCTCTGATTTCCCAGGAAATTATACCCACATGCAAACTCATGCATTGCCGTACAACTTCACAGCGTTCGTGGAATGGCACTGCCGTCTGTATCCCAAGTTAGAGGAGAAAAAGCTAGAAGGAGAAAAACATTTGTCATTAGTATACTTTATTAACAATTTTATAGAGAGATTCACACCCCATAGAGTCACTCTTGATGTGCAGTTTAGGAGTCTGCAGCGTATTCACAGCTGTGTGGCCACCAGCCCCTGCTGAGTGTCACTCATGCCCCTGTGTCACTGGTAACTGTGTGTGCACTGCCACAAGCAGCAAGGTCGCCAACAACAGTTTGCACTCTGCAGTCGGAATCAGAACTAGTTTGGAAAGGTACACTTGAACCTGGTGCCTCACCTGTATCTGATGGCACCATCTGGCTGCAAGAGATGCATGGGAGTATTTCCTTTTTTGCCAGAGAGTGCTCCTGACAGCGACTGCCGGCCACCTCCCTTCTGTTCGACCACAGCAACTCCGAGCTCCTGCAAAACCCGAACGGCAGAGCTGGTTCTGCAGCGAATGCAGCAGTTCAAGAGAGTGGACCCGGAGCGCCTGAAACATGCCTCAGAAGAGTGTTCCCGCGGGGCTGCACCAGAAGACCGTGGCCTGAAGAGCCCTGGAGAGGAGCTGACCGCGGGGCACGGTAGGGCAAACGTGGTTCTTTTCTAAACAGCCAGGTTCTAACTCTGGAAGGAGGGAGGCACAAGGAACCAGCAGGTGCTGCTGGTGTGTTACCCTGCCGCCTCCTCGGATCCAGCCTGACACTGGAAGGTTCCCTGGGTCATTTCTGACTTAGGCTCTGTGACGAAAGTAACTTTTTTTTTTCCCCTTCTTTTTTTTTTTTATTATGAAAAATTTCCGTTAAATAGTTTTTACAGTGTAAATGAATCCCCTATGCTGGCATTTTGTTTTTAATTTAATTTTGCAGATCTTAATTAGTTTTGTGATTCTAAAATCAGAATACTTCCAGCATACTTTTTTTTTTTTAATTGTAAAGTCAGATTTATAGAGAGAAGGAGAGACAGAGAGAAAGATCTTCCATTCACTGGCTCACTCCTCAAGTGACCATAACAGCTGGAGCTGAGCTGATCTGAAGCCAGGAGCTTCTTCTAGGTCTGTCATGTGGTGCAGGTTCCCCAGGCTTTGATCCACCCTTGACTGCTTTCCCAGGCCATAAGCAGGGAGTTGGATAGGAACTAGAGCAGCCTGAACATGAACCAGTGCCTATATGGGATCCTGGATGCATGCAAGGCAAGGACTTTAGCCACTAGGCTACTATGCCAGGCCCCAACATGCATTTTTTATGCCTCTGTATCTTTTTGAAAGTTATACACAATGTAACATCACTTCCTAAGATTTACTTTCTTAACCACAATAGCAGCATTATGCCCAATTCAGTTATATCACCTTGTGTTCCGCTTATATACAAATTTCCCCAGTGACCCCAAGAATACCCTTCGAAGCTGTTCTTTTCCTGAACAAGCACTGAACGTAAGCTTGCACATTGCATCTTACACAGCCCAGCAATCTCTGAAGGTGGAAATTCAAGAGCAGCTCATGTCCTATACCACCGCCCCACAACTATGACACTTTCGGAAGAGCCCACGCTAGTTGTCTTACATGGTTTCTCACTTTCTGGATTTGCTTTATTAGTTCCTGATGGTGTCACGTAGCCCCTTCCCGGAGCCCTGTGTCGCAGGGACGTAGTGAGGACATCAGAGGTCTCACTGGCTCCAGGCTCAGCGTTCGGAGCAGTGATTCTCTGGTGCGCTTCGTACTGGACCACCGCAGGAGACAGGATGGCAGCTGGTCCCATTCTTGTCCCCTAAGCAAGATGGGTCCTCATCTCTCATTGAAAACAGCGAAAGGAGAAGAAACAGAAAACCTGCCTGGTCTTGGGTTGACAGAGTGTACCCCGAGAACACTGAGGAGCCTCAGGTCACCCCAGAGCGCAAGAGCAATGGGTGTTCATTGGTTTAGTCTTCTGTTGTCATTTTACTGGGATGTTCTTCCTGTTTGCCTTTGGTTTTGGTAGGCGCTATTCCTCTTCTCTTTTAAGAGAACATCTTGAAGTATCATTTGTAGGGCACGTTTGGAAAAGGCAAATTCTTTTAACTTTTCTTTACTGTGGAAGAATTTTATTTCATTTTCAAAGACAAAAGAAAGCTTTGCTGGATATGTTATCCTAGGCCAACAATTTTTTTCTTTTAGAATCTGGAATTCATCACTCCATTCTCTTCTGGCCTATAGAGTTTCCTGTGAGAGATCTCCTGTGAGTTTAATTGGCATTCCTTTATATGTCAATTGATTTTTTTTTCACGTGTACATTTAAGGATCTTTTCCTTATGTTCAATTGAAGAGAGCTTGATAATCATGTGCCCTGGTGAAGATCGCTTTTGATCAAGCCTGTTGGGAGTTCTGTGCCCCTCTTGGATCTTGTTTCCCAATTCTTTCTCCAGATTAGGGAAATTTTCCTTTATTATTTCATTAAATACATTTGCAAATTCAGCTTCTCTTTCTGCACCTTCTGGGACTCCCATAACTCTTATATTTGGCCTCTTAATAGTGTCTTTCAATTCTTGAATACTTTTTTTGGCCTGATCAAGTGCTGCTTTCAGCTTTTTGTTTATTTCCCCCTGGTGACAGGAAATTTCTTCTAATTCTGAGATTCTTTCTTCTGCTTGCTTCATTCTGTTTTGGAGACTCCACTGTACTTTTCATTTGCTCTACTGTGTTCTTAATTTCTGATATACCAGCCTTAATTTGCTTTATTGCTTCCTTAAATTTTTTGAACTCTTGCATGAGCTTCTCATTTTTTATCAGAATCTTTAAAATGAGTCTTATGGATTCTGTGTCCCCCTTTTTCTCAATGTCTTCCTCAGTGAACTCTAAAAGTTGGCAAAGGGTTTTGCTCCTTTGCAGGGGAGTTTTTGGTAATATACATTGTGCCTTTGTCTCTTCTTTTGCTCTTGATCATTGTACTTCTGGTTAGCAGAGTCTTCTCCTTGGGGCAGGTTTCTAAGCTCTGTCACCCACAGATCCACAATGCGATTTTACTTATTGCAGTTGGTACCCAACTTTTTGCTTGCAGCCACTTGTGCCACTCCCTCCAGCGAGCTCCAGGTCTGGGTTCTTATGTCAGATTTCCATCGTGGTCTCCACAGCCCCAGCTCCTGACTCACTCTCCACCTCCTGTGATACCGTGCTGAGGCTGCACTGTTGTCTCTGCAACCTTTCTCCTGCTTCCGGTTGGAGCAGGTCTCAGGATCAGAGAGACACCAGGTGTCCTATATAATTAGGTTGTTGGTGGCACTGATCTTGTTGGAACCTGTTCGACGTTAGGTCTGGGTGCCACATGGACCTATTTTGACCGGTACGATGCCACAGTCGTTATTGTTTGAAGGAGACACAGTTCAATAAAGATCAGTGGAAACTCTATCACATGGGTTTTGTTGTTTTCTGTTGGTTTCATCTCTTCAAAACACTTTCTTCTGATTAAATCATTCAATGACTCGTAGAAGTAAAAGGCAAGTTCCCTGCATCCTTGCTGCTCAGTGGTCTTGGGCCACAGCACAGCTGCCACACCTGGAGCTGTTAGAAACAGGGTTCCAGGCTCCACCTGCAACTCCTGAATCGGAACCACAATTTAACAGGTTCCCAAGTATTTGTATGAGTGGTAAAATTTGAGAAGAGTACTGCCAGGGACCCCTTCGTGCCCAGTCTCTGCAGGTGGTACTGGCTCCAGGCTTCTCTATATATATCATTTTAAATATTATGTATTTAAAAGGCAGAGTTACAAGCAGGGAGTGGAGAACAGAACATTTTTTATCCTCTGATTCACTCACCAAATGATTGCAATGGTTGGGGCTGTGCTGAAGCCAGGAGCTAGGAGCTTCATCCGGGTTTTCAATGAGGTATAAGGGCCCAAACACTCAGACCGTCCTCTGCTGCTTTTCCAGGTACGTTATCACGGGGTTGGATCAGAAGTGGAACAGCTGGGTCTCAGATTGGCATGCCCATGGATGCTGACATGTCAAGCCAGGGCCTTACCTGCTGTGTGACAGTGCTGGCTCTGTCAGGTTCTTCTCACTGCCTGGTGTCCGTGCCCAGTGAGCTAGTGGCCCCACGGCAGAGATCCGCGAGGATGCCCGTCTCTGGGGCCAGTGCTCAACGCCCTTTGGTATTTCACAGGATGTGAGCCTGCACTGCCAGCCACAGACAGTGACGCTGCAATGGCGCTGGCCCTGCAGCAGGAGTTTGGGCAGGAAGCAACATCTGCGTGCAATGACAGCCTGGAGGAGAAGGGATTGTTCTTCTGCCAGATCTGTCAGAAGAACCTCTCAACCATGAACGTGGTCCGACGGGAGCAGCACATGAACAGGTGGGAACCGTGTACCCTGTCCCCTCCTTGACGCATGTATCCAGAGCCAGGGTCTCTCCAGGCTCTAGTGGGAACCTGGCGATGCCTGAGAAGTACCTCAATATTGTCACCTCATTGAGAAATAACTCACATGATTCACAAATTCCCTTTTGGATTATTCTCATCACCCAAAAAGAAATCCCAGCCCATTAATAGTCACTCCCTGTTGCTCCCTCCCTCCCCTGGTAGCCACTAGTCAGCTTCCTGTCTGATTTGCCTTCTCCAGGCACTGTGCAGCTGGGGTAATACAGTCTTTGTCCTTTACTCTGCCCTCTTAATACTGTGTTTCATCCACAAAGTATCGGTATGGTTAGCACTGCTTCCTCACTGTGTGAACATCACAGTGTCCTTCAACAAACCAGGACAGCCAGACATCGCGGGGCTGTGGAACTTCACAGAAGCAGGCTGTGTATGTGACCTACTGCTGGCCACAAAGCATTAGGTAGCACATAACTTCATTTGTTTTCATGCCTAAAAATCCCCTGGTGTGCACACTTTGATCTTGAGCTTTTCACCCAGTTCTGCCTTTTGGGCCCTGAGAGTGAGCTGCTCTGGACACGTGTTTTAAGGTTGATTTATTTGAAGGAGGAGTGGGACCAGTACAATGGCCTACCACATTAATCCCATGCCTGCAAGTGCTGGCATCCCACATGGATGCTGGTTCCTATCCTGGCTGCTCCACTTACCATCAGTTACCTGCTTGTGGTCGGGGAAACAGCGGAGGATGGCCCAAGACCATGGGCCCCTGTACCGATCTGGGAGACCCAATAAAAGCTCCTGGCAGTTGTTGGTAGTCATTTAGGGTGAAAACCAGTGGATGGAAGATCTCTCTCTTCTGTCTCTATAAAAATCTGCCTTTTAAATATGAATAAAATCATTAAAAAAGAGAGAAAAAAAAGAGTTACAGAAACACATGTAGATACAGAAAGGTATCTTCCATCTGCCGGTTAACTCCCCAGAAGGCCACAGTGCCTGTGATGGACCAGGCCGAAGCCAGGAGTCTGGAACTTCATCCCTGTGTCCCACATTCAGCAGAAACTGAAAGACTTAAGCCAGTTTCCTAGGTACATAAGCAGGAAGCTGTATGTGAAGTGGAGCACCCATGGGCAATGACAGGATGCTGCATTGCATGCTGAGATACAACCCACTGTGTGCAATCCAGCTCCTGGCCAAGACCTGTTTTCAGGTCTTTTGAGTGTTTTTCACCCAAATTGAGATCCCTGGGACCTAAGGGCATTTTGGCAGCTTTAGCCACCTTTGCTAGCAGACATCTAACCAAAGCCTTGAGCTGAGTGCTAGAAAACCCGGGGCTGTGAAGAGTGCACTGGCTTAGGGGACAGGATGTAGCAGCACGGTTACACCGTGTCCGTGCTGACATGCATCCCAGCTGACCTCCTGGATTCCCTGTCTTTCTCCAGGTGCTTAGACAAGGCAGAACAAGCACAAAGACCACCTGCCCCTCAGATCCCCGAGTGCCCCATCTGCGGCAAGCCTTTTCTCACCTTGAAGAGCAGAGCAAGCCACCTGAAGCAGTGCGCGGTGAAGATGCAGGTCGGCCCCCAGCTCCTGCTGCAGGCCGTGCGGCTGCAGACGGCCCAGCCCGAGGCAGGAGGACCCCCTCCCTCAGCCAGGTGGGTCACCTGTGAACAGGGCTGCGTGTTCACTTTTCCTCATCCACTGTTGTCTTACAGTGTGGATCTCACCTCAGTGTAGTCTCATTTTTATTAATGTCAGATTATTCAACACAGTTCAAGGTTGGTGAGACAGAACCACAGGTCCCTTGATAGAAAATTTGCATGGATTACTGCTGTCAAAACAGGAGGCACTCTGACTGCAGGGAAGTGGGTCCTTGGCATGCAAACCACAGGCCCAGGTGGCTGAGGCTGTGCTGGCGCCTCACTGCCCCCACCATGCTAGCACTGAGCCTGGCTTTAGGAAGCACCAGCGGCGTGGGCCCCAACTGCCTCGGGCTCGGGCTCCTTTCCTGTGACAGCTGTCAGGAGCCAGGCTTTAAGATGGACATCATCGAAGCCACTGTAACTGGCCACTGTCACAGGGACTTTGCACCTCCTCTCCCCTGAGGCAAAGCTTGGGGGTGTCTGGCAGAAGCACAAGTGTTGGCTCCTGTCCTTGCATGCATCCTGGTGAGAGGCCATGGTTATCACACAGGATCACAGAAGTTGGAGCTGGGTCTGAGCTCACTTAGACCTTGTGAGGAGAATCTGAGGTTCTCAAGTGGTCCCAGGCCCGGTGGCCAGTGTGAGCTCGCACTAGAACCAGAGGCCGGGGCCACCTGTGGGGCCATGTTTCCTTTCCAGCCGGGAGCTCCTTGCACTTGCCTCCTCCAGTGCAAGAGGCTGCTGCACACAGATGCCCAGCCTGTCCTTCAGGCCCCACACGGAGGAGCTGCCCAGTGAGAACTCCTCTGCCGTCAGGGCATCTGAACAGGCAGAAGACCGCAGGATCTAGGGAGCCGACCTGGAAAACCAGGAAGTGTTGACTCTCCCAGACGCTGTCATAGCTGGGGTGCGCAGCACCACATGTCAGGAGCCCGCCGAGCAGTGTCCTGTCTGGCCCTGCCTGGACTGGCTGACCTCTCGGCCTCTGTGGAATGCCCTCAGATGGGAGAATTGACAGAGAGAACTGAAGAAGCAGGTGCTTCTGCTAGTGTCTCACCCCCCACCCCAACCCCAAAGGAGAGCCATCCTAGGAGGCCTCTTAGGTGCAGTGGGCCTGGCCTCAGAAGCGTGGATGCTTCTGACCCTCACCCAACTTCTCCATTTGGACACCTTTTAGCATTGGCAATCCAACTGGAGGCTCGAAACGGAAAGGAACCTCCCACAGGAAGGAGCCACGGAAGAGGCGGAAGGTCGGCCAGCCTGAAGCGCCGTCCGAGGACCTGCTGGTAGCCATGGCCCTATCCCGGTCTGAGATGGAGCACAGCCCCGCCGCAACAGCCCTCAGGCTTGAGAGCGCCTTCTCAGAGAGGACTCGACCTGGAGCAGGTATGTGTGGCCAGGAGCAGTGGCCTCGGCCAAAAGAGTTTCAGGTTCCGGGCCTGGCGCAGTAGCCTAGTGGTTAAAATCCTTGCCTTGCACGTGCCCGGGATCCCATATGGGTGACAGTTCTAGTCCCGGCAGCCCAGCTTCCCATCCAGCTCCCTGCTTGTGGCCTGGGAAAGAAGTCAAGGATGGTCCAAAGCCTTGGACCCTGCACCCTCATGGGAGATGTATATATGTCTATCTGTATATATGTCTTTCAAATAAAAACAAATAGATCTGTTAAAAAAAAAAAAAAAGACAGAGCGAGAAAGAGTTCCAGGTTCCACTGCTGACCGTGTCACTTCTGGGTCTCTCCAGAGAAGAAAAGTCGCAAGAAGAAACCCCCAGCGTCTCCCCCACAGCTACTAATCCAAGACTCGGAGACCACAGGCAGGCAGATAGAGGACCGCGTGGCCATGCTCCTGTCGGAGGAAATGGAGATGCCCAGCACGCCGCAGCTGCCAGCCAGCAGGATCCTGAAGGAAGAGTTGAGAAAGGCAGCAGGGAAGCAGAACTTCCTGTGGGAGGGCAGTGCCCTGACCGGAGCCTGGGCTGTGGAGTCCTTCTACACAGCCAACCTGGTCCCCCCCATCGTGCCCCAGCAGCCCACCAAGGTGAGCCCTGCCCCTCCGGTCACACATGCAGATGCTTGGGGCACAGGTGGGAGGTCCTCTACCAACGCTGGGCAGCACACAGGTCGGAGGGGAGGTGAAGGGGCGCATCCATGCTTTCCCTCTGTAGCACCTGAGTGTCTCTCCCAGGAAAGACCCTTGATGTCCAGAACTGACCATGCTTCCTCAGAGTGTGGCTGGCATGAGGCGTCAGAGGAGGGACCTAGGAACCTGCATTCAAAATGCGTGTTCCAGACCATCCTGCAGGTGGGTCTGGGCGAGTCTCTTCTTCCTGAGGCCCCTGGCTTCCTGCAAAGGAGTAACAGGCATGGTCTCACCAGTCAGAGCAGCACAGTGACATTCGGTCCTCCGCGGGGCCCTGCACCTGTGTGGAGGCTGATGCTCTACAGCAGCCGCAGTCACCCTGACTTACCTGCAGGAGCCTCCCCGGCCACTGACACCTGAGAAGCCACAGCCAGACCTGCCAGGGCCACCTGATCTTCCCAGCAGTCCCGGTGCAGGCCACGGGGCTGGAGACCTGTCGCTGACCACCACCCAGAGGGAGCACCAGGCCCTGCAGGACCTCGTGGACCTGGCACAGGAGGAGCTGAACACCAGCCCTGAGCCCAGCAGAGGAGACCTGGCCAGTTCAGGTGGAGCCCCAGGTGAGACAACAGACAGAATGCAGTGGCTCAGCCCTGTGCTGCAGGGGCAGGCACAGTCCCTCTGGGAGCTTTGGCTCAGGAGTGACTAGCACAGGCAGTCTGTCCCAGTTTTCCCCAGCACTGGGCACACAGAGCCAGCAGTCCACACGAGGAAGCCTGTTTGTGAAGACATTCTCCATCTGTTCCTTCCCAGGCACACGGGTGCAGCCTGTCCTGTGGGGTGGGTGCCGTCATCTTGGCTGTTCATGTCATCAAGAGATGACATTATCTCTACCTTGACCCCTCCTCTCAGGGCTGGATGTGGTACCCTGCAGCCTTCCACTGACTGGCTTTGTCCTGCCACCCAAGGAGAAGCACCCTGAGGGAGGCGACCATGCTTTGGTAAGGACCGGGGTCTCCCACGTGAGCACCTCATGTGGGGGCCGTGGCTAATCTTGCCCCCTGCTGTTTCCAGACCCTGCCCCAGTCCATAGGTCTCCGAGGAGCAGCTCTGCCTCCCAGCAGATGGACACAGCAGAGGCCACCCCTGGACACTGCTGCGGAGGCTTCTGTCCCTTCTGTCCTGAAGCCCATTTAGTACTGGGAGCCCAGGATCGCTGCTCGTGCAACAGCCTTGCACAGCTGTCTGCTCTGCGTGCTCTTTCCTCACCTCACTGCCCTGCTGGGCGTGGGGATGGGGCTGGGCTCCAACTCACAGTGCAGCATCCTATGTTGTGTGTGTAGGAGTGGGCTCAGCATGTGGTTTCCTTCAGAATTGGCACTGCCCCATGAAGACATTTTCTCTAGCCACACACCCCACACAGGCTAGTGCAGTGGCATCGTGCATGGCCATGGACAGTGGTTCTGCAGCTACTGGGACTTGGGTTGTGGGTCCTTCACACCAAGCTGCTCTGAGCACCAAGTCCCCACTTGCCCAGCGCTGCAGAACCTTGGATGCTACCAGGACATCCTTATCTCGACTGTCCTGCCTCTGTCCACTGCTGCTGCCTTCCTGTGCCAGCGAGGGCATGGTGGGCAGTAGAACCTGAGAACAAGGCTGGCATCTTCATCAGTCTGGACTGCCAAGTGCCCACAGTGACAAAGTGGAGTCCAGCACAGCTTGCCCTGAAGAGGGGGAGGTGCCCTCCTTAGCCAGGTCTCGTGGTGGTAGAGGGCTAATGCCTCTTCTTTGTCCCACTTCAGCTCTCCTTTGGGCTGCTGATTGCCGACTTCAGCACCATGGTCAATAACCCACACTTGAGTGATGTCCAGTTCCAGACGGACAGTGGGGAGGTGCTCTATGCCCACAAGTTTGTGCTTTATGCCCGATGCCCACTTCTCATTCAGTATGTGAGTATGTGCCCATTGGGTGGCTCCCTTCCCTCTGTGTCACCTGACTCTCGCTCCCACCTTACCCCTTCCCTGTCCTCTGCTGGCCCCCTCCATCTCACACCACCCTCTCCGTGGTCTTACCCTGCTTCTCCTACTCAAGCTCGTTTCCTTTGTTGCGGTCAGGCTCCCATTTCTGTGGAAAAAGAGGACAAAGGCACGTTGAGTTGCTGGTGTGAGGGGATGAACTCAGGATTGGGAAACCTCACATTCTCTGTTTCTGTTGAATGAAAGCCTTTTTCTCCAGAATTATTCCCCTCTTTCAATTTATGTAATTATAAAGTTTTACAATTGGTCCTTCTCTCTGACTTTATTTGTATTTCCTATATTTATTTGAAAGGCAGAGAGAGAGGAGAGATCTTTCATCTGCTTTCTTACTCCAAATAGCTGCAGTAGCCAGGGCTGGGCCTGGCCAAAGCCAGGAGCCCAAGGAGATGACAGGGATTCAGACTGTTGAGCATGGTAGCCGGACACTGGGATCAGAAGCAGAGATGGGACTCAAACCCAAGGATGAGCAGCAGTTGACCACTGCGCCAGATGCCTGCCCCACGAGAGATCTCTCTCATAGGAGGTTCTCATGTCTTCAGGGAGTTGTGCTCTGACACAGGCTAACCTGGTGTTCGACTTAAGCAACAGCAGGAACTACATGAACTCTGTCAAAAAGTTCTAGAGCCCTTGACGTGTCAAGAGCCAACTAGTTGGGTTCTTGAACAGATAATCCTAACAGGCTTTTAAAGAAAGAGACTGGTCATGACCTGACCCACACAATTCCTGGTCCAGCGATGGCCCATGCTCTCCCCGTTAGGCCAGAGCTGCGCAGGATGTGCCAGGCCCTGCACACCATGCAGGTTCCACCATCTGTCAGGAAGCCTCACTGTGTCCTTTCTGCCCTCAGGTGAGCAGCGAAGGCTTCTCCGCCATGGAGGACGGGGCCCAGGGCCAGCGTGTGCTGCTGAGTGACGTGAGCACTGAGGCAGTGCAGGCGTTCCTGCGCTACCTCTACACTGCGGACACCAGCCTGTCTCCCCGCCTGGTCCCTGACCTCACTTCCCTGGCCCTCAGGTATGGGGCCCCTCCCCTGTATTCTAGCCTCAGGGACTGGCAGAACTTTGAGTCCTGTTCATGCAAATTTTTAAAAGGGTTGATTTATTTATTTGAAAGAGAGACTGGGATCTTCTGTCTGCTCAGTGACTTCCCAGATGGCTGCAATGGCCAAGCCAGGGCCAAGCAAGTGTATGTGGCGATCATGCGTGGTCCAGCCCCTGCCTCAGCAGCCTAACCGGCTTTGTGTACACATAGCAGCTTAGCATAGAAGAGGCATTCCCCCTAGTGCCATGCCTAAGAGCCTTGAGGAAGCCCTGTCAACCAGGGCCACCTCAGCCCTTCCACACACACTTGGAGAAATAACAGCTCAGGGTTCACTGGGCCGCTGAGCCTGTAAGCAGGTGCCTGGGCTTGCCTGCCCACAGGTGCACTCTGCCAGGACCGACACTGGGCACACTGCCTTGAGGGGCACATTTTCTCTGCCTCTCCGGTTTCTTGGTTTGCTGTGCTGGCACACCCAGGTGGATGCACCCCTTCATGTCTGTGAATGTGCCTTAAGATGCCCTGGAGTGTTTGTGGGCAGGTGCGTGGGCTCTGTCTTCAGAGCAGGGAAAGGCCAGGGCCAACTCCCAGCTCGTGAAGACCCTGCTTGGCCGGCTGAGGCCTGCCCAGGTCACCACAGCCGTGAAGGAGGGTGGCTGAGCATGCATCTCTCCCTGCCCAGGCGCCTGTGCTGTGTGGGAACGACTGGCAGTGTTTCCTATTACAGGTTTGGTGTGAGTGACCTTGTCCACTTATGCCAGCAAGTGCCCACCACAGTGGAGTCTGAGGAAGAACAGTGGGCAGAGGAGGACAAGAGCTGTGCCAGCAGAGTGGAGAACTTCCAAGAGCTCTTGAAGTCAGTGTGGGTGGACGGCGAGGAGGAGGCAGAGACCCCGATGAACCCCGAGGACGGTGAACGAGACAGGGAACAGGTGAACGAGGCCGAAATGGAGGAGATCTACGAGTTTGCAGCAACTCAGCGGAAGCTTCTCCAGGGGCAAAGGGCCACAGCCATGGACGAGGCTGCCCAGCCCCGGGAGGAGAGCCCGGAATCTGCACAGATCCTGGCAAGCGTGCAGGGTACTGAGGAGTTGGAAACAACTGAGCAAACGGGGTTCTCGGTGCTGGGAGGGGCCAAGGCCTCACCACACCAGGACAACACAAGGCCACGCGCTGGCCGGTCATCACGGGGCCAGCACCACATCAGAGCCAAGGAGGCAGGGTCACAGGAGCAAGAAGCGCCAGTGGAGTCAGGCAGTCACTGTGGCTCCCCCAGCCCTCCTGGGAGTGGCTGGGCACGGGGAGAAGTACCCTCGCAGTCTGCCCTTGTCCACCACAAGGAACAAGCAGAGTTCTCAGAATCATCCCAGACAAAGCGCAGTGGCGAGCAGCAAAGCGGAGCCATCAGAGGAATGGGGGCAGGGCTTTCCCAGCAGGCATCCCCACCCCGCCTCAGCTCCCCGCCATCGCAGCACCCCGTCTCCAGGAGTCCTGGCCAGCCATGTCTAAACCTGCATCACACAGATGTTGCTTCTTCCCAGTCACAGGGTGGGCTGCCTGAAGCAGCCTCTCCACATCTGCCATCTCCACACGCACCCTCCCCGCAGAAGAGGGTCAGCAGTGTCCTCACCTTGCTGACCCAGCTAGAACACAAAGCCAGGGGGACCTCGACCGCCTGGGACCCCTTGGCATCCATTGACCTCACCCAGTCAAGGCCAGAGCAGCTCAGCTCTCAGGCTCTGAGCACTCCCTGCACCAGGAGCCAGGAAAGTGAGGTTATCCTCCTATCAGACTCTGACGAAGAGCTGGGACTGGAGCAAGCCAAGGGCATGCTGGATGCTGCTGGCTCCCCAAAAGAAAGGACAGTGTCAGGAATTAGCTCCAAGTCCGCTGAACTGTTCTCGGTCATTGATGTGGACGCGGACCTGGAGCGTTCCCAGAGCCCGCCTGGGGGAGGAGCCGAGTCGCAGGAGGAGGGGCTCTGTGAGAGGAGCGACCCCGAGGACAGCACCACGGACACCTCGTGGCTGGTGCCTGCCACACCACTGGTCAGCAGGAGCCATGACTGCTCATCCCAGTCCAGAATCGTGAGCTTCAGCCCCAGGACTCCAGCCAACGAGAGGGCTGCACGCACTCCCCGGGCGAGGGGAACTGCGCACACATTCTCGGTGATCGTGTCCCAGAACCAGGCCGCAGCCCATGTTCCAGCCACCTCGGGGGCATCCGATGGTGGGGGCTGGGGCTGCGGAAGCCCCTCCAGGCCCCACGCAAGGCACCCCAAGCACTCCTCTCCACTGGGCCCTAGTCGCCTTGGGGGAAGCCTCCCTGACTTGGCCTGGCAGTTCCCAACATGCTCTCCGCCCAGGCCGCTCTGGCCCCTCCAGGCTGAGGCGAATGAGGTGGTAGAAGTGGAGGACAGTGAGGGTGAGCAGGAGGCCGCCTCCCTGCAGGCACACAGCAGCCCCCTGCTGGACCGTGAGCCTCCAGTGCTGGTGGACGACTGCTCTTGGCACGCCGAGCCCCTCTCCCCGATCCCGATCGACCAGGTGAATCTTGAGCGGACGGGCCCCCTGAGTACCAGCAGCCCCTGCAACAGGGCACAGGAGGCCCCAGCCTACAGTGCTGGTCACGCTCCTGGCCTCCTGGTCACCCCACCCACCCATGGCAGAAGGTCTCCGCAGACATCCTTGCCGGCCAGCTCCCCGGGGAACAGCAGACCAAGCTTTCTGAACTCGGCTCTCTGGGATGACTGGGACGGCGGGGAGCAGAGGTCACCAAAAGCTCTTCCTGCAGCGCGGACCCCAGGTGCCAATGGAGCTCAGCGGTCAGCCACGTCAGAGATGCCAAGTAAGTGCTGGGAGTGGGAGGGCCTGGGGGGCCCACACAGCCTGAGCCTGCTGGTCAGGCCCTAAATGGCTGCATCCTGACACTCCCTGGGGTACTGGTTAGAAACCCAGATTTGCAAGCTCCTGTTCCAAACCACGGTACCTATAGAGCCTCAGCTGTGCCTGAGACGGGACAAGGACTCCCACCTTCACCCTCTTCCAGCAGAGGGAAGCAGCACTCACCCAGTGTCCAGCTGCACCGGCTGAGTGCCCAGCCTACTGGGCCCACAGGACGCGGCCTCTCCACCAGTGGGATATCCGCCTCTGCTGTCAGAAGGAATGCGGTGCTGACTCCTGCTCCTTGCGGTGCACCTGGGGAACAGCATGCAGGGTGGAAGGAGTCAGGCAGAAGGATCTAGAACTGGCAGGTCAGAAGGATCCACGGCGGCCAGGGGCTGGATGCAGGAGCCCTGGGGAGTGCAAGAGTGGCCACCCAGTGCTCTGAATGAGGCGTAGGGGCGTGGGCAGTGAGCCCATGCTCCTTTCCCTCGGGAGGGGGGCTTCCTCCTGCGTCATTTCAGTCTCTGAGCCTCAGAGCTACTGTTCCCAGGGCAGAAGCTTCTGGGAGGGGGGAGGCCGGAACGACCCAGAATTTGCATTTCTCACCAGCTCCAGGGGTGACAAACCCTGCCACAGGGCATCCTGGGCTGCAGATTCCAATGAGGCCTCATGACAGGCCACAAAGTGACCCAAGAATGGGCACGTCTTCCGGGAGACAGCCTCTGCTCTCCTGTGGATCCCTGGTCCTAAAGCGGATAAAAAAAAAAAAAATCAAAGTCTGTGTGTTCCTAACTTGTCCTAGTTGTTGGAAAGATTTGTTTTTTTAAAGATTTATTTTTATTATTTTTTCATTGGAAAGGCGGATATACAGAGAGGAGAGACAGAGAGGAAGATCTTCCGTCCAATGATTCACTCCCCAAGTGAGCGCAACGGGCCGATACTATGCCGATCCGAAGCCAGGAGCCTCTTCTGGGTCTCCCACGCGGGTGCAGGTTCCCAAGGCTTTGGGCCGTCCTCGACTGCTTTCCCAGGCCACAGGCAGGGAGCTGGAAGGGAAGCAGGGCTGCCGGGATTAGAACCGGCACCCATATGGGATCCCGGGCATGCAAGGCGAGGACCTTTAACCACTTGCGCCACCGTGCTGGGCCCAGGAAAGATTTTTTTTTAAAGATTTATTTTTTATTATTTTTTTTATTGGAAAGGCGGATATACAGAGAGGAGAGACAGAGAGGAAGATCTTCCATCCGATGATTCACTCCCCAAGTGAGCGCAACAGCCGATGCTATGCTGATCTGAAACCAGGAGCCTCTTCCAGGTCTCCCACATGGGTGCAGGGTGCCAAGGCTTTGGGCCGTCCTCGACTGCTTTCCCGGGCCACAGGCAGGGAGCTGGGAGGGAAGTGGGGCTGCCAGGATAGAACCGGTGCCCATATGGGATACCGGGCGTGCAAGGCAAGGACCTTAACCACTGCACCACCGCGCCGGGCCCAAGATTTTTTTTAAAGTAACAGATCCCCAAATTCACCTTCTTTGGGTGCACAGGTTGGTGGGTTTTGTTGTGCACTCAAGGCTATGTGACCATCGTCACTAACTGCAGGCATTTTTGTCACCTCAGAAATAAATCTCCCTGTCAACAGTCACCCCTGCAGCCATTTTTTTTTTTTTTAATTTGAAAGGCAAGAGTGAGAGGGAGGGGAAAGAATGAATGCACTGGGTGGCCACTCTTGCACTCCCCAGGGCTCCTGCATCAGCCCCTGGCCACCGTGGATCCTTCTGCTGGTTACTCCCCACATGTCCTCAGTGGGTTAAGCCAAAGCTAAGAACTAGGAGTTCCATCCAGGTCTCCCTGGATGCGAGGAAGGAGCTGGATTGGAAGTGTGACAGCTGGAGTCCAAATTGGTGCCCACATGGGATTCTGGCACCACAGACAGCAGTTTACCCTGATTTGCCACACACCACACCGACCCCTGTGTAAGTCCTCTGGAGAAGTGCATATGTAGATCCTTTGCCTGTTTTTCATTGTTGAATTTTAAATTAATACTAAGGTCTGCCTATTGGTAGCCACCAGCACAGGCGGGTCACAGGGATCGTCTCAAGTTGTCACGGCACAGTAAGGCACTTAGAGTTCCATGTAATGTAATGGTTGACCAGTTCCAGAAGTGCCTCTCATTCAGCATCAGCCCTGTACAGGGCACAGTCCACAGGCCCATGAATGGCCTTCCAAGATGGCACCTCCAGTCCAAGTGTGATTGCACAGGTCGTTGGGGCAGGAGAGACACCCTGGCTGCAGTGGCTCCACATGCAGGCTCAGAGCGGTAAGTCCACATCCTGTGAGCTAAGATGTGTGCTGCTTGTTTCATCCAGAAGGTGCTAATCGGAAGAAGAATTTGCCCCCCAAAGTACCCATAACTCCAATGCCAAGGTATTCCATCATGGAGACACCGGTACTGAGGAAAGAACTGGACAGGTCAGTGTTGCTCTTCCTCCTGCACGTGATCGGGCTCAAGGACACCCGTGGTCCCTTCGGGTCTGGTGGGCTCGGCTGTGAGGTTCTGCAGTCCACCCTTCAAGAAGCATGTGCCGCTGCCAGAGCACAGGTGAACTTCCTGGGCCTCCCGAGTCATGGGACCCAAGAGGCCAACAGATGAGACTCCTGCAGGTTAACTCCCCACCCAGGCATGTTTCACGTGGTCTCCATGTTCCACAGGGATGGAGCCTTGTACCAGCGCTAACAGTGCAGCGAGAGAGTCTTGGTCCAAAGAATCTGAATGATCCCATCCACGTGAGGCTGCTGGGCCCTTCGGCACCCAGGGAAAGTCACATTAAGCACGGGACACTCCTCCTTGGAGTACTCTATAGGAAACGGGGTCGTCCCTGGTGGAGTACTCTGTGCAGTAAGCTTAGTTGGCACATAGCACAGACACTGTATTTTAAGTGTTTCTCAAAATCGGGCCCCCAAGAGTTGAGTCACACACAGCTATCACTGGGTGTGCTTGTAACTGCCCCTTACTAACATGGAAGACGCACCAAGTGGGAATACAGGCTGTGAGGTGCAGGCCTCACACTTCCGTGGTTTCTGATGCAGGTTTGGAGTCCGGCCTCTGCCCAAGCGCCAGATGGTTCTGAAACTGAAGGAGATCTTCCAGTACACACACCAGACCCTGGAGTCTGACTCGGAGGATGAGATCCAGGCCTCAGAGATGCCCCTGGCTACCCCGCTTAGCCAGAGCCACAGCACCGAGACCTCCAAGCCTGCCGGGGCTGAGGGCTGTGCCCAGCTGGAAGCTGCCTGGGGCCCCAGACCTCAAAGTTCCAAGGGACCTTCAAAGATCAAGGGCCCCCAACACAGGAAGCAGCAGCCCAAAGGTGGTGTCCTAGGCCCGGGCCAGCCAGCAGGCCCTGAGGGGGACACCCGTCTCCCAGCCTCCCAGGAATCTGTGGACAGCAGTGACAGCTCCTTCAGTTCACAAAGGTAACAATGGAAGTGGCAGGGTCAGAAGCTCTGGGGCCAAGAAGCCACCACTGCCTTCTGGGTTTGAGTCTGGGAAGGTCAGATAGTTGTAAGGGGCTCTTCCTGCCAAGCTCCTGACCCCATGCCCTGTGCCTCCCTACCCAGGGGACCCTACCCAGGCTGGCTGCTGTCAGGACCAACGTGCCAAGCTGCACGGGGCCCCAGGGAGTGGGTGTCACAGTTGTCACCGTCTGTTTTCTCCAGCTCTTCCTCCGCTGAGTTTGGGGCGGCCCTCGAGTCAGCTGGTGATGAGGAGCAGGGGATCAGTGCCTCCCAGGCAGCCATGCCGGCAGCAGACGTGGAGGAGGCAGTGAGGCGCTACATCCGCTCCACACCAGCCCTGCACCGGAAGGTGCTGCTGTACCAGCCATTGGAGCTGGCTGAACTGCAGACTGAGCTGAGGCAGAACGGCATCCGTGTGGCCATGGGCAAGCTATTGGACATCCTGGACGCTCACTGCATCACCTTCACCACCGCTGCTGCCCGGAAGGAGAAGCTCAACAGGAAGAGGCTGCAGCGTGTGGGCAAGAAGAAAGGTGGGCAGAAGTGATGGCTGCAGCCTGACCTCCACTATCAGAGGTCACTCCTAGCACCAGAAGCCCCTGCCGTCCCTGTGTGTGAGGTGCCAGGATGCCCAGGGCCACCAGGCCTCCACAGGTGTCTCAGCCTTAACCACAGCACCAGACCTTCTCCACTGTGCTTCCTGGATGGAATTGGGAGCAGCAGGATCAAGGCTATAGCCCCACTCCTTGCCAGTACACTGTCTGCCTCATGTTGTCCCAGTGGGCTGCCCCTCCTGGCCTGGGCAAGACCTGATCCTGCCCCTCTGGCCACTCTGCATGCACTGTGGCTCACAAGTGCCTCCTGAGCTGCAGGCCAGGGCTGGCCCCCGCTGCCTCAGCACTGAGACCAACCCTGGCCATATGTGACCAGGGCCAGTTCTCCTGGCCCTCTCACTGTTACCAGCAGATTCCACGCTGAACGGCCCCCAGGCCTAGCACAGCCCAGGCCTCAAAGCAAGCACACTCTTGGTGAGCAGGTTGCAGCGTGTCCCCAGAGCTGTGAGGGCTCTAGGAGCAGCCAGGAGGCACGGGCAAAGGCCCAAAAATGAGTCTGAGGCTCCAGGTGCTTGTCTTACATGTGGTACAGCTGCTTTTATATGACGTGCAATAAAATCAAAGGCTTTATAGATCCTTGGGCTGCTACTCCAGACAGCTCCCCAGGGATATGAACTGGACCTGATGTGGTATACCTTCCTATACTGGGGGAGAGGTGTCCCAGACCTACTGTTGTCATGTGTGTGTTGTGGGGGGGGGGAGTCCCTGGCCTATCATAAAACATACATGGGGTGGGGAAGGAGGGGGTCACAGGCTCGCATTCACACATATGTTGGGGGTCCACACTACCACGTTAGGTAGCTGCAAGTGAGGCCTCAGGACTGCCCTGCCTTAGGGTCATCACAGGCACATTTTTCTACTCCAGAGCCCACTTTCACAGGGCAAGCTGCAGAGGGCTACTGTGGGCTGCAGGGAGAAAGAGGACCTTTCTCTGCCTAATGCAGGGGCCAGGCTCTGACTTGAGGGCTACATCCAGCAAGGTGGACAGCGAGAAGCTGAGAGCCTAGTGTATGCTCTTGCTAACATGGCAGCGCACACTGTGCCAGCTCTGCTCCCTGGCCCTGGCTGAGCTGTTCTGTAAGCAGCACGCCTGAGGTTGCCTGTGTGACTTCACAGACTCTGTGGGGGGAGCCCTGATGGGAAGTTACGGCCTCCTGACTGATGGGCAGAGAGCAGAAGGCCTACTGGGCTGGCTCTCGGGTGCTGCAGCTCAGTGGGCGAGTCTCAGCTGGGGGAGCGGGACAGGACCCCAAATCCCATGCTGAGCAGTACTGCCTTGTCCTGGGGCCTGCTGCTTTGAGGGGGAACAAGCCCTGCATTGGCAGTGATGGTGACAGTGATAAAAACACCACACATGGGGTCTGGAAGAGGAACCTGGCCCAGCCCACAGGAATCAGCCAGCTGGACTGGGCCCAGCTCATCGCCTGACAAAGAACATGGCACATGTGGCTGCTGTTGTGGGTTCGGGGCCCACTCCCTGGACAAGGCAGCTGGGAGTTCCCTCCCAGAAGTACTGTCCTGCCTGAAGGAGACAGTGCAGGGACAAGGGCTGCATTCCAGTGCTATGTTCACTTGTGACCAAATCAGAGTTGGGAAGAGACCACACTGCCTGGCTCACAGCCCAGGCCTTAGCCCAGGCAAGGGGCTACTACCCCCAGCAAGGAGGCGCACAGGGAAAGGCCCCCAGCCTTGCAAGCAGGAAGCCCATGCCTTTACCATCGTGACAGTGACAGCGAGGACAAAGCTCCCGCCCAAGCAGCTGTGTCCACAGTAAGGCTGCAGAGCCCTCCCCTCTTTACATGCCTGCCCCCGGGAGGAGCCCACCTGCTTCCCATAGAGGATCATGCTGAGCTGAGCGCAAGACCAGCAAGGCTGGGTGGGCCGAGGGATGTTCCTGAGAAGCAAGGACTGAGTGGAATAGCTGCCTCTCCTCAGCAGCCACCCACTGCAAGCCCTGAAAGGAGACAGAAACAGCAAGTGCGTGCATCTGGCCTCAGGTGACAGACTCCCCAGGCGCCTGTGGTTTCCAGCATCCTGTGGGCAGCCTGGTTCCAGATACCCACGCTGCACCCCCACAGCCAAGGCTGCAGCCACTGGTCGGGTGCTCTGCCTGCAAGGAGCCTCAGTGGGACACCCTCCCAGCACCTTCCAAACAGGGAGGAACCAATTCCCACTGGGCCCCTAGGTGCCCTGCCCTCCATCACCTGAGCACAGGACCTGTAGGACAAACAGCAGTCCAACAAACTGCTGAATGCACCCAAGGGTTCTACAACTATTGCTGGCTCGCACCTGCCTGATGAGGAAACATCAGACCCCAGGAGCTCCCCTCCCCTAACTCAGCAGTCTCCATTGTTAATTGGTCTGCTGCTTGGGAAGGCATTCTGTTTGTTCCCTGTGTCATTCACCTGCCGGCTCTGCACTTCCATGGCCACGATGCACCTACCTGCTGGTGGCCACCTTCAGGGCAGGGGGCAGGGGGCATGGCCTACCACTAGCCCAAGCTCAGCTGCTTCCTCACAGGCTGTGGTGACTCACAGGAAGATGCTGAAGTTGCCTGTGGGGTGACGGGGGGCCGGGGTTCACAAGATGCTGATGAGAGGGCATCACATCTTTGCGAGCTTGTCCCTGCATAGCCACAGAACCCTGATCTCCCCGTTCTCGGTGGTTTCCTGTGACCCCCACCCCACCATGCAGGCATCCCCTGTCTTTCTCCCAAGTGGGAAGAGGGACAGGCCAGTGGCTGGCCTTTTAGGGTGTTGTTTTTTAAATAAGATTTATGTTGATGCAAAGTAGTGGGTTTTTTTTTTAGATGAAGTATTTTAAGTTTGCATTATAGTTGAGTGAGTGCTTCACAGCTACAATATAGACCCAGTACACCGGAAGAACAGGTGGGGGCTACAGGAGGACAGGCGAGGACTACGGGAAGACAGGGGGCTACGGGAGGAGGGGGGCTACGGGAGGACAGGGGGCTACGGGAGGATGGGGGCTATGGGAGGATGGGGGGTATGGGAGGACAGGGGGCTATGGGAGGAGGGGGGCTACGGGAGGACAGGGGGCTACGGGAGGATGGGGGCTATGGGAGGATGGGGGGTATGGGAGGATGGGGGCTATGGGAGGATGGGGGCTATGGGAGGATGGGGGCTAGGGGAGGATGGGGGCTATGGGAGGATGGGGGCTATGGGAGGATGGGGGCTATGGGAGGATGGGGGCTATGGGAGGATGGGGGCTACAGGATGGGGGTATGGGAGGACAGGGGGCTACAGGATGGGGGCTATGGGAGGATGGGGGCTATGGGAGGATGGGGGCTACAGGATGGGGGGTATGGGAGGATGGGGGCTACAGGATGGGGGCTACAGGATGGGGGGTATGGGAGGATGGGGGCTACAGGATGGGGGCTACAGGATGGGGGCTATGGGAGGACGGGGGGCTACAGGAGGATAGGGGGCTATGGGAGAATAGGGGGCTACAGGAGGATGTGGGGGTTACAGCAGGATAGGGGACTACGGGAGGACAGGCTGGGGCTATGAGAAGAGATGCTTAGCTGCACTCAGGTGAACTGTAAGACATCCAGAGAACCATGGCTGTTACAGTCACATACCATTCCTGTCAACTTAGCAGACCAAGGTTTAAATCAAAGTTTGGGGCCTGGCGCAATGGCGCAGTGGTTAAGGTCCTCGTTTTGCACGCCCGGGATCCCATATGGGCACTGGTTCTAATCCCGGCAGCCCCGCTTCCCATCCAGCTTCCTGCCTGTGGCCCAGGAAAGCAGTTGAGGACGGACGGCCCAAACCCTTGGGACCCTGCACCCACGTGTGAGATCTTCCTCTCTGTCTCTCCTCTCTGTATATCTGCCTTTCCAATAAATAAATAAATCTTTTTAAAAAATCAAAGTCTGACAAAATTCTGCCCTCGCAACAGATATACATGGGCTTAGCAGGTTTAAGTTTTTTTTTTCTTTAATTTTGGTTGTCATATATGCAGAACACGTAGCATCTTTCTATACCTGGCTCTTATTATTCAACATGACCTAATTCCACTCAGCTCCAGTGTTAGAATTCTTTCTTATAACAGAATAATATTCCACTGTAGATATCACACACATTTTGGCTGTGAACAGTGCTAGGGGAGCAGGTCTGTGTGGGTGCCAGAGCCCACAGCCAGTCGGCCTCCACCCATGCTGTCTCCCATAGCTGCCGCTCTCATTTACACCCCTGCCAGCACTGTGGCCAAGTTCCCCTTTCTGCAGGTACTTGTAACCTTTGCTGCTGGCTTTGTCCTAGGGCCACTCTGACAGTGACCCTGGCTCAGCTGTGCACACCCCCGATGGCTGGCCACGCTGAGCACCGTTTCCTGCCTGTGTTGGCCGAGCTGTCGGCCCAGGGCCTTTGCCCACTTCCTCGCCAGGCTGCTGGGTGTTTGCTGCTGAGCTGCTGCTGCTCTCTGCTCTGGGGTGATCGGGCCTGAGCTCTGACATGTGTGCTTCCCTTGGAACCTTGGGCCCAAGGAGTGCAGGGGTGCAGAACCCAGGCCCTGGTGACAGTGACGATGCAGTTGTAACTGCCGGGGGCCGCCACACAGCTCACTGATTTGTTGATGGGCTGCTGGGTTTTGAAGAGACAGGAAGGAAGGCTGAGGTGGAGGCGGCACAGGAAGAGGTGAGCAGCCGGCGCGCCCTGCCGGCGCTGGCCCCCACACGTTCAGCCTGGGAAGCCCGACCGACCTCTCGGGCCCCCGGGCTCAGGCCCTGCTGGCCTGCCCCACACACTCCCAGGCATTCCCCTAGTCCCTGGCTGTCTTCCCACTGCTGGGCAGGGCCTAGTCCAGAACGGTCGGGATGGACTCCTCCTCAGGCCCCCAGCCCAGGCATCCCTGGAGCAGGAAGGAGGCCCAGAAGGTAAGCCAAGTCCAGGCTGCATCACTGGGAGGCTGGGGCAGCTGAGAGCACAGCTGGTGGGAAGCACGTGGCCTTGGAAGCCTGATCTGCTCTAGAGGGCAGGGGAGGACAGGAGGGTGCCAGG